AAATATTAAAAATTTAAATAGGACCATACTGTCATATGGCCAACTATACTGTCATCAACAGAAATTGTTCACAAGAACTAGTGGCCTATAGAAATTATCCATACCTACAGGAAGTGTAGCATTTCAGGCATGGTGCCTGCCAAAACTGTCATGAGAATTCTATAGTTCTCTTGATTTTATAGCTCAGGAGAATCGTCTGTAATTCCAATTTCTGTTACAAATTATTCCTGTCTTTTATATGGCTGTGGGTAGGTGTATGTGTGTTGATTATATGAATCCACATAAAGAGGTCACTTTTTTTTTCATTTAACTAGTATTAAACAGAAGAATAGAGAATTACATAAAATGTATAGCTAATCTAAAATGTCTTCATTGCACTTTATTATTTTAGTAACTTCTGGGTGTTCTGGTTTTAAATAATTGGGGAAAACTTTACTGCCTAATCCAGTAAGCAATGGCATACTTCAAGCTGCTAGTAAACCTTGGGTCCTGGTAATAAAATTAAGGTTTCTGGTTAGAGGCACACTGTATAGAGCAATGGTATTCAGACTTTTTAGCCTTGGGGCCTTTTTACAGTCTTAAAAGTTGACCCCAAAAAGCTTTTGCTTATATGTTATATCTATTGACATTTACCATATTAGAAATTATATATTTATTTAAAAATAAAAATCATTAAATGTTCACGTTTCTATGAAATTAATTTTCTAAAACAAAACATTTAATGAGAAAAGTAGCATTGTTTACATTTTTTGGCAAATCTGTTTATATCTGACTGGAAGACAGCTAGAATCATATGTTTCTGCATGTAATTTGTTGCAGTGTGTTATTATAGTTGAAGTGTATGAAGAAAGTCAGTCTTACATAGATACCAGTCTTACATAGATACATAGTTGGGAAAAGGATAAGTATTATAATAGTCTTTTCAGATAATTTGGATGTTCTTGGATGTCACCAAAACTTGAGAAGTGGCAATTTCTTAAAAGTTAGTTGTAACTTCTGTTACTAGCTGAGATGGAATAGCAAGGACTGGATTTACCATTCCTACTGAAACAACCAAATTCAAAACAAAACAAAAAACCTGATAACCTACATAAAAATGGGTTTCAAGATCACTTCTACAAATGAATTGAACCCTACAATTGCTCTAGCTTTCTGGGCTGTGATGCAAGGAAGGGGAACTGAGGCAGAAACTAGGAGACTCCCTTAGTTGAGGAGATGGAGCTGAGAGTCAGGGGGAGACCAGAGTTCACAGGACAGAGGACCAGTGAGAGAGTACACAGAGTTCCAGAGATCTGTAGAGAATCCCTTGAGCATTTAGCTCAGAAATGATCAGTGCATGTTTGTGAAGAAAGCCATCTGAAAGGATTAGAAGGAACAGTGTCTGGTGCTCACAGGAGTCTACTAACAACGCCTGTTCCCACAGGCCACAGGGCACTGGGTAGTTCTTGCTTCAGTAAACCAAACCAGAACCAAACCTATTGCCATTGAGTTGATTCCAACTCATGGTGACCCCATGTGTTACAGAGTAGAACTGCTCCATAGGGTTTTCTTGGCTGTAATCTTTATGGAAGTGCATCACTAGGCTTTTCTTCCATGGAGCTGCTTGGTAGGTCCTGTCAACCTTTGGCAGCTGACCACAAACTGCTTGTGCCACCAGAACTGCCTCATAGTGGGAAATAATTAGCCCTATATTGAGCACTACCATGGCCCAGTACCAACAAATCATAAAAGCAAGATTCAAAAGAATCAAGTGTGTAACTGCATTGCAAAAAAAAAAAAAAGCTCAAAAATATTTATAGGAAAATAAAAATATCCAGCACCTAATGAGATAAATTTCACACTATCTGACATCCAATTAAAGATCACCATGCAAAGAAAAAAGAAAACACAACCCATAAATGAGAATACTAAATCAATTAAAACTAACTTACAGCTGACACATGTTAGAAATAGCAGATAAAGACATTAGAAGTTATTAATACTGTAT